ATACAATATGTATTACTGTGCTTTTTAATGTGTTAAACACAAGTCTTGAATGAATACTTGTTATATATCACCTGTTACAGTATTCACAAATGAATTGTATACACAGCTGGTTACATACTGTGTACTGTACTGTACTGGTCTAGTTTTACCATCCAAAGTGATACCAAGATCAGTCATTTGGGTCATTTTGGGATAGAATTTCTTTTGTCGAGTTACTGTACATACTTTTGCACATATTTGGATCTGTGTCTTGTTTGTGTTCTTTTTTTAAAAATAAAAATACAAGTTACAGTACAACCACCATTTGTGATAAAACAATCCTATAAGTTTCGTGTTGAAGACATTTTTTAAACAAATAACATTACTCCCTGTGTGTGCTATAATGACAATTAGACTTATTTAATATTTATGTTCAGAAAATAAAAATGACACGCAGTAATCTCATCCAATTTTCTTTCAGCTTTTTAATATTTATAGTTGTACACGGACATCTGAGTTCGGTCTCTTCATACTAGTATTAAAAACCAAGTGTCTTTACAAAGAAAAAAAATGCTTCTTTTAACAAAGCATTTACAGGCTTTGTTAGACTCGGAGCTACTTGCTCAGTTCTTTAACTTGTCATTTGTGTAATTTTCACAGATTAAATTACAAAACAAAGCTGTTTTTACAATACACACCACAAACCATTTTTGAGCGTATGTTCTTGTTCTGCATAAATACTGTACACTAAAAAAAAAAGGGGAGCAACATATACAAATAGCCGCAGAGCATTGCTTGTGTGGACTCACAGTAAATAAAGCTTCACAGTAAAAACCGCCTGTGTTTTACTCTTTCTGTTTTACATCTTGGAATTAACGGCTCAATCTTTCTTAAGGCAAACACATATTTCAGCTGTATATGGCCTCTATTGTGGAAATTAGTTTGATCATATTTGACTCTCTGAACAAAACTTTATTTTCCTAATATGGCTCAGTACCATATCCGTCCAATAGCCTTAGTTGCTTTTTTTCACTAGATGGTGCTATTTAAAAAAAAAACTGCAATTATTTACGTTCTACCCCAGAACGTACTGTAAATATGTGTAGGTGTAGGCACACACCTACACATAGGCCAGTATTCTCCATTTTTTTAACTACAATTTTACTAAAGCTTTCATTGGACATAATGTAATCTTAAAAGCAAACAATAAGGTTTTGCCTTTTAAATTCCAGTTTTGAAACTTTTTTCGGAATGTCTTTGGTTTTTGCTGCACAGTCATTGATATTTTACTATTATTTGTTTAGAAAACACCCGTATCCAGTGTGGGTTACAATGAATGCACATTTTAAATGAAGTCTAAGAACATCCAACCATCCATTCATTAATTTCCTAACTGCTTTATTCAATAATGGATCACAGGGGGTCTCAGCAAGGAATAGGCGCAGAGTGGGGTACATCCTAGACAAAATGCCAGGCCATCACAGGAGAGGTCAGCTACCCGACCCGAGCCCGACTGCGCCCGAAAAAGTATCGGGTTTCGGGCTGGATTCGGCTCGGTTTTTCACGTACCAGTTCGGGTTCGGGTTTGTTTTCTAATAAGTGAAAATGCATTATTATGTTTTAAATTTATTTTGATTAAAAGAAATTCGTAACTCATTTGCGCGCTCTCTCTCTCATTTGTGTAACAGAGCCTACCTACTGCAGCTAACGGTTATCAGCACTTTCAAAAGTATTACAAAATTATACCACTTTTTCTCAGCGCACGGCATTTTCTATCAACTCTCAAGCGCATACTGTAGCAGCCGAGAAAAGCATTGTAAAACCGCGTCTGTGAGAATCCGTCTCCGTGTATGCTTGTGTGTCTACTCGCTCTGAGAGGAAAAGAGAGTGGCCGATTTCGGTTTGGGGTTTCAAATTTGGCAGTACCATTCGGCCTCGGTCTGGTCGTGGCTTCAATTTCACGCCCGTGCAGACTTCATCACATGGCACACACAGACAACAACACGCACACACCTACACCAAGGGCAGTATTCTCTAACACCAATTAGGCTATCAGTATGTCTTTGGACTGTGGGAGCACTCGGAGAAGCCCAAGGGAATAAGGGGAGAACATACAAACTCCATACACATAGCACCCCCAGGCTGAAAATGAACCCAGAGCCCCACTGCAGTGAGGCAACAATTCTAACAACTCTGCCAATGTACAGCCCTAGTCAAGGAGGCAAATTAATACATTACAGTAAGGAAAACGAAGATGAAATGGTCATGTGAACCAAAAAAATGAAATTGTACTTAAATTGGTCTTAAATGTTCAGCTTACAAGACAAAAAATAACAAGGTACTGGTGTATTGTACACTGTTCAGCTACTTATATCGACATTTTCTCAGGACTGTGAAAAAAGGGATTCTTATGTGGTGTGGTCTCAAGTTTAAATTTAACCTACAGCCCAATGTAAATAGTAAAGCCACCACATGACGACAACAGCCTGGAGGCGATCACAAGCAAATTAAACAGAAAACCCACAATCAAATGACACGTTTGACATTTACTTTGGCTGGGATAATTCTTTAATGTAACAGTGGCTTTGGCGTATTTGCTCTCATGCAAACTGTTTGCTAGCATTTACTTACAGTATTTGACTTATTTTTAATTTATTTATTTAACTGGAGTATTATCAGTACTGTATTACCATTTTGACTAAATTACTGTTAAGTTAAATGCAGGTGCTGGTGAATTTTAAAAGTACACTTATCGTGGGCACAAGCTTAGCTGTGTATTGCACTGGTAAGTGCAAATGACATGGTGCATGCACATTGCAAGTAAAACCACAGGAGCCACTGGTATGCTAAAGATGGGCTTTAAAAACAATTAAAGTGTGTTACATTTTATTTTATTATATTTTATGCACAACTTGAAACACTTGAAAAACTATTGCAGGGGTTGTAATAGACAATTGAATTTACCATTATTGCAGTGTGAAATTTAAAACGTGCTATTTAAAAGCACACGCTTTGCAAACAAATTTGCAGTTGAAGATGCAACACTGATTTCCTTAAAGAAAAAAATTGCTGTTATTGCCAGGGTGCAGGTAGGCTGGGTTTGTACCAGAGCTACCTAAATCCAGTGAGGAAAATACTGACCCAGGATCTTTGAGGCACGGTGTTCAAACAACTCGAATCAAACTGTGCCCTGGGCCTGGGAGAGGAGATCCAGGAAGAGCATGGTATGTCCCATTTGAACCACAGTCTCCATTGTCACCTGAGGACCACTTGGAGGACCATCATGTACTCTGTACTGATCTTCTCAGGGCTCACAGAAATCCTGCAGGCCAATGAGTCAGAGCATTAATGCCCAAGTGACCTTGATCTTGGAGGGAGAACATATATATTCTTCTCATGACAGAAATAGATTGACACCTGCTCCTACACAACAGTCCCAGCTGGCTTCCAACATTCAACCAACCAGCAGCCATATCCCCCTGCAACTCACAACTAAGGTTGTTGTTGGAAGAGGTGTTAGTGGGGCCAGCAGGGGGCGCTCACCCTGCAGTCTATGTGGGTCCTAATGCCCCAGTATAGCGACGGGGACACTGTACTGTAAACAGGCGCTGTCCTTTGGATGAGACAAAAAACCAAGGTCCTGACTCTCTGTGGTCATTAAAAATCCCAGGGCGTTTCTCGAAAAGAGTAGGGGTGTTACCCCGGTGTCCTGGCCAAATTTTCCATTGGCCCTTACCAATCATGGCCTCCTAATAATCCCCTAATAATCTATGAATTGGCTTCATTACTCTGCTCTCCTCCCCATTGATAGCTGGTGTGTGGTGAGTATACTGGCGCACTATGGCTGCCGTCGCATCATCCAGGTGGGGCTGCACATTGGTGGTGGTGGAGGGGAGTCCCCATTACTTGTAAAAGCGCTTTGAGTGGAGTGTCCAGAAAAGCGCTATATAAGTGTAAGCAATTATTATTATTATTATTATTATTATTATTATTATTATTATTAAGGGTGCGGTATCAGTGGAATGAAAATAAGGAAGACTTACGAAAGGTCCAGCCTTCTGGTTTCATGATTATGACAGTTACATTTAAGATCAGAATTCAGTCACAAAATAATGATACATTTATATTTTAACAAGAGCAGCTCCTATTATTATTGTGCAACGGTATTTCCTAGAGTATTCTTAATGTGGTTTGTCCTTTAGCAGATGTGATACAGAACACAAAAGTTTTTTTGTGGAGAGTTTGGTCTGTGCGTGCGAAAGGGTTTACTCTAAATTTGGTTAAGTGCTGTGTATGCTGAAGAAGGCACAGACAATTATTATTTGGAAAATTAACAGAGATACTCTAGTATTTCAGAGCAACTGGAAGACAAGAATAACCTGTGTCTAAAATACTGCTGTATTAACTACAAAGTATGGTAATTCTTTTTTGTCCCAAGTACAGTAGACACTCTAGAGTCACTCTCTCCTAAATATGACATTTATGGTAACATAAAAGGATGTTCTGAGGTATAAGAACTGCTTGAAAATGCAAAACATATGTTTAGATATTAGCAGGAGAAGATACATATCTATGACTTTCTGTTATTCTCAATCAAGAGGACTTTTTACAAAAGATTAATATTCATTTCAAAGCTTATCAGAGCTGGGCTGTGACTTTCATCTCTACACCCGTAAGTCACATAGAGGTGATACATGCTTCGCTTGTATGTTTTTTAGGTAGAGAGTTCCAAAAATGGTGGAACGAGTGAAAATAAAAGATACCCCAGTTTTTTCTTGGTCCTCATGAAGTGCATGTGTACTCAGGACAAGGACTATGTCCAGCTTCAAATTAAACGAGGAAGTCGTGTTCTTTTTAAAGTAACCCTTGCGTGATCCTACAACATGTACAGTAAGTGACTTTAAAATAAATGCGGGTAGTAGGTGTATACACAAAAAATACATTCTCATAACGTGACAACGGTTGAGACCGCTCTGTTCATGACTGAAACGAACTCGAAAAAATATTCACGTCTCACTGCAGTTTCCATGCATTTAGTGAACATAATATAGTTAAAAAAACCCATAAACTTATGTGCAAGATGCTGGCTCTAGAATACAATGATGAATTGAACTAAACGTCTTTTTGTAATACGAGCAACGGTTCCGTGTTAGGTTTCGTTTCCAGGAAAACACGCTGTATGGGATCTCCCCTGTTCGGAGCGAGGAGGTATCCAGGATGTGATATTGTGAAACCTACAGTTGCCACTTGCCGCTGAGTTACCTTGCCTTGCTCTTTTCATACGCTTTTCTCTTCACCAGGTAAGCGTTTTTCATCTTTAGGAACCACTCTAATTTGATCTACAAAGGATCAATACAGTTGGGTTTGTCATTTCATTAACCGTTTCAACTATCATTGCCTTTGTGAGCGAGTTTCGCACAGACAAATCTGTATAACTACTGTAACCGAGCTTTTTATCAACTCTTAAGAGTAGAGTCTTATCACCTAACTGTACCAGCGCGTGATATGGAATAGAGTTCACGTTCTAATATGCAGTTCTAGACTTTGCTTTACGAAAATCATATATTTCTGTTTTTAATTCACACTTTTATTAATACTGATGATAATTTAATACATTTTTTTCAAATTACTTGTTGCGTTCCAATTTAGTGATTTTAGAAAAACGATTTTAGAAATAGAACTATCTGTTATTTGTGAATTATTATACTGGTCTTACATTCACATTTTCCAATAATAGGATTACCAATATTGTGGTTATTGTTCTGTTTTTCACTGGCGCAGCAGTGGAAGGGTGGAGTGGTTCCACTGTGGCTGAGGATTTACGCCTGTGGCTGGAAGGTTGCTGGTTCAAATCTTGCAGTGACAGAGGAATCCTACTCTATTTTGCCCCTGAGCAAGGCCCTTAACCCCAACTACTCCAGGGGTGCTGTACAATGGCTGACCCTGCGCTCTGACCCCAAGCTTCTCTCCCTGTCTGTGTCTCATGGAGAGCAAGCTGGGGTAGACTAATTCAATTTGATAATTTGATGTTGTTAAGATTAGTTTTGTATAGAAAACAAAAGGTACTTACAGTATAAGAGAAGCACCATCTTTACTCAGGCATGCACCCCCTTGTAATCAATATGAACAGAATAGACTGTCAGATGATTGATAATTATAAGTATCTGAAAAACCACATAGGCCTTAGACAGGACACAAGAGTATTCTGAAGCACAAGAAATAAAACGTAAGCAAAAGTAAGTTGCATCTATGGGAAAGAGAGAGATTTTATTGACACCCCAGTCATGAAGGAATCCAGGGTAACATTCGTGTATTTTAGGGGTGGGTATGATAGATCAATTTTAAGACAAATGTTGGCAAATGTCATAAAATTAACCAAAATTAAAGTCAGGCCTGACAACTTCTTTACACAAAGGATTTAAGTTTCATACAAGAAGTTGTAAAGTTCTGTTGTGGATTCTGAGTCAGTGGAAGCATTCAAGATGGGTTTGTGTATCTTGGGTTTCCAGATCACTGAGCGGTCACACCACTCAGTTGTACTATACCTTCCCTGAGTTAAAAAAATTAACCCTTGTCAAACGCTTTCCAGAAATCTGTATAGAGACCATTAATGGTTGTAATGTTTGTACAGTTGTAGAAACTTCTGTGACTACATAAATTACTGTATGTTCATGATATTTCACCCTTTTTTAATTAAAAGAGGTTATGTTACATATTGACAAAGTGTCCTTTTAAATCACCCAATTTAAATATAGCATTACAGCTGCCAGGAAATACACTGGCCACTCCTCAAGATATACACTTTGATCACAGATAAAGCAAAAGATTCTTAGCTTATTTAGTTTGTAAGAAGCAGTAGGGAGATTTGTTGTACTGTTCACTACATAAGCTTGACTAACAAAAGTATGTAGTTAGGATAAAGTCTGTTGTTTGTTGACTCCTGCAAATGTAAACCAATGAATTTCCTGGGCTACTGAATTCTGTCACTATCCTGGAAGGCTGTGTTATTCTCTTTTGTATTCTGATTGATCTCCAGGCTAAATTCTAATTTCCAGAAATCTTGTTTGTAATGTACAGCTACACACGGCAGGGTCATGGCTGCCCTATGGTGTGGCAGAGAAAAAGGTGTTGTTTGTTATTGATGGCAGTTTGAATGGTATCCTACATCCCTTTGAGGTGTTTTGTAGTATCCACAATGTAAAATTTAAAAAGGCTAATGCCATTTTATTACAATTTCACTTATTTGTTGTTTGCAAAGGAAATGCGCTTATCAGGGATATCCAAGACTTGCCGTGTTGATAAAGTTTCACAATAAAGAGCAAAAGGAAACAAAAGAAATGATTACAAGACATAGAACAGTAAAATGCAAATAAATGTAAGAAAGATAATACCAATGTAGGTAGACAGTGCAGTACAAATGCTGTACAAAAATAAAATAAAAGAATGACCAACATGATCCAACATGATAGCATTTGTAGTTGTTTTGGAGGGAACGGGGCTAGAAATGATGGACACACAGTTGTGTGCACCCAGAGAGTATTTATACGTAGGAGGCTGAAAAAGAGAGGTTAAATGTAGACCTCCTTGTGTCTGTTAATTAGCACCATGTCAGACTCTAATTATGAAACAAGATAGGTAGGTAGGTCCCTTTTCAGCCCATAAAGGCCCATGGGGAATGGAAGGCAAGGGCCACCATTTTTCATGACCATCCAACACTGTAGGTGGAGGTGATGTGGTCAGCCTCACACTCCAGCCAACCTACTACCCCCAGAAGGATTAACCCCTGGTATTCACTTGGAAAGCAGGCTGAGTGGACCTAGGAGCCCTCTGGAAGGAAATAGAGCAAGCTACCTCACTTGCCCCTACCTAGGATTGAACCTGGGTCTTTCAAGTCAGGAACTAGATGCCCTTGCTGTCTAGAGTTACCACAGCTCCCTACGAAACAAGAGGATGAAAATAAATGGATAGCATACATAGTACTTTGATGTTACAGTAACTCATCTGACTGAGGAAATGAAGGGGGAGCAGAACAAGTAATACTTAGGGGAAGAGAGAAGAAGGGTGTAAAAAGACTTAAGCTGTCCTGAAAGAAAAGAGTAGAGAGCATGACAGAAGCAGAGCCAGTTGTTTTCTGTGGAGAATTTGAGATGGAAGAGCTGCTTGTTCGGGAAGAGGTAAAAAAATCAGCTACAGTCCTGATTTGTAGGAGATTAATGTGGTAAAGATAAGTTCTAAGTTCTAAGGTAATACAGAGTATGAGAAATGTCTGTCTCTGGCAAGACTGAAGTGCAGAATGCTGGAAACGATGTACATGGGCAGCCAATGAGTAATTATACTGTACATACTGTAGGGGAGTGGAAGCACAAGATTAAAATGTAACCACCTCCCAGATTGCTGTTAAAAGCAATATAAAGTACATATGTGTGTGGATTGTAAATCTAAAGTGTTTACTCTCAGTGTAATGGCTGTGTGTGAATAAACTAATCCTTGGCCAAGGTCCTATGGGCATAACCATTGCTTTTTTATCTTAATAAAATATTTCAGACAGAATTAATGATATATGGATTTTTCCTTGCAGATTTGATCCCACTGAAGACAAAGGGAATTAAACGTTTCTGGTTAGATTTGCTCTGTTTTTTCTTCCAGCAGAATTTAAGCGATCTCATGGATTATTCAGGTAAGAAAATAAAAGACAAGTTAATGTGGGGGTATAAACCCTTAGACTATTGTCATTTCATCTTTCTTTCAAGGTAAAAGCCTCTATGATGCTGGTAGAGAAAAAGGGTGGCTTTAACTCATGAAACCACAGAAAGCACAATGCTTAAGTCCTCAAACTAGACCAGGAAGTGCTCTATGTATATTTAGAAACAAAATGTGATGCTTTTATTTTCAAGGAACATACAGTATAAGCATTTTAAACCTAGTAAATTAGCAGGGCTGATGTAATTACAGATGCGTGGGGCTGAGGGTTGTGGGGTAAGGAGTCTAAGGAAGGCTGGGTTCCCCTCACAGTCATATTTGTATGCTCATGGGGATATCTTTTCAATTTGATGTTATCATTTTCTGCCTCCCTTGCCAATACAAAAACTTTCACAAGCCGCATTACACTTTGTAAAAGATTGTGCTATAATCATCTGACCTTTGTATAACATTTAGTCTTCTTGCAATGCTTCATAGATATGCAACATAAAAAGCATAAAGACCTGCATTGTCTGCTCTGAACAATCTTAATTTATACCTACTAAGTAATCTTGTGTTAATTGCAGCAGTTGTTTACAACCGTGTTTGAGGCCTTGTTCCATCTTTATCTTTGCATTTGAATTTCATGTTGGGTTTGCCTGAAAACCACACTGGAAACTGAGAGCCTCCTTGTGTTACCAATTGTTTTAAAACAATTTTACATTATTAAAGGCTTCTGATTTTTATTTTTCATTTACAAATGATGAATTCTATATTACAGGTAACAAACAGCCTGTTTCAAATCAGGTACAACCCGTTACACAGCCACCTGGTATGTATTTGAACTTTTGCTTAAAACTGCACGGGCTGCAGTGAAACGCAGAATCTGCTTTACATTTGTTACAATAAGTAATAAAGCAATAAGGAAATTAAATATTATTGTCCATATTGACATTTTATTAAGCTCTAGTAATAGCGGCAAAAATCACTTGTCACAACAGTAGACATTAGGCCTCTAAACCCCAGTCTGTAGGATCATGAGCCCAAATCCAGGGTGGTACCCTTGAGGTATAAACCTCTAGTAAATGTCCTTATATGTTAAAGTCTCCATCACTGCAAATTAGTAAAATAAAAGAAAGTTAGTTTAACCATATTTGTTTGCTTCCCTTTATATGTCCTTTCCTCCCTTTCAAGAGCAATAAAACTAAATATATTTTCTGGCATTTCAGTGATGTTTCATAGACTACTGGTTAAGTGCATATGGTGTGTGGGAGGGTACCCTTTAAATTAGTCCTGCTAACAATGTTTTCCACTGATGTTCAGCAGTGTTACTGTATAGTTAAAATAATGGTTGTTTTTCAGTGTAATGTCTCAGTGCATGAACAGACAACAATACAACTCTTAAGTCCTAAACCTTTTAAACTGAGGCAGTTCTTTTAGTGCACATGCTTCTACTTCTGTGTGTTTAAAAAGCAGAGACATATGTGGACATACTATACAAAGTGATCACTCTGTGGTCTGAGCTCTCACACACAAATGGTCATGACTGTTCAAAGGGAATATAATTGGTACATTGTCCTTGGTCTTTGTTGCTTGAACGGTGAAAAGAACGGTTCTCATGAAGTCACCAAATTTCAGGCAGAGCACTGAGTGCAGGCGTAAAAAATATCCACCTCAGTCATAAATCACCTTTAATGCTAATTTTAAGCACAAGGTAGGTTTGAGAGAAAAAAGACTGCCAATTAGGTTATTACCATTTCTCATCCAGAATTTTAGGTTGGGATGCTGTTTACATAAAATTATTCTGTTAAATATCTTTTTAAATATAATTTAATTGAACCACTGCTAGTGCACATCACTGGAAGTCCTTTCTGTGACTGAGTGCATCCTACAATAGCTCTATACAAGTTAGAGACCTTGAGCACTTCAACACATATCCTTGATTTTGCCACTGGGAAGATAATGTTGGCATGTACAGTATGAGTTATTTTAAGAAACCTCAGCTTAAAACATTGGACTTTTTATTACCCCTAACACTTATTGAAGAGGAACAGTTAATAGAATTGCCCATCACCTTTATATTTTTGTCATTTTCAAAGGCTCAGATTAGTTCAGGATTAATGTGGTTCTTCCTTGAGCATCTATTTATTTGGTTGGAAATGACAATCTGTATGTCTACTTGTTCCTGTGATGAATGAATGTTTTATGGCCTGTATTGCACTAAGTACAACTTCAGAATAGATCAAATATATTGGACACTCCACACTGAAGAAATGTAATCTGTAGATATATAAAATTGAATGTGCAAGTTTTTGATCGCCGTTTATTTCAGTTTATAATATAGTAACTCATTAGAGTATTCATATCGGGAGTATTATGCACAAAAGTATGCTTGTGGTAAGATTATGGATTATTGGTATGATTACCTTCCCCAACCTGAGCTAAAATGAGTTTTATCTAGGGAATATTTGAAATTTGAAAGTCTTTGGGAAAGGCTTGAGTGTACAATTTTGTCTTATCGATTTTATTCTCCACCTCAATTCTTCAACCCTCACTGTTTGCCCTCAGGATTTGGTACCATGCCAACTGCTGTGGTAATGCCTGCACCCCCACGGCTTCCTGGCTGTCCCCCGGGACTGGAGTATCTTGCTCAGGTGACATCGGATCAGTCCTCAGAGATGCTACACAAACGCTTTAGGAACTCAGTTTACAAATGGTGGCAATTTGAATTGCTCCTGATAAACAGGGATCCCTCATACCCAGTATTTCTAGAATCAGCCATGTAATAAGTGTGGCAATTAAGGAAAAGTAACAAATCTCTAAATTCTTATTATCCATTTGGCAAACACTGCTGGAATGCATTCCAATAGGAACAACAGTTGTTCCTAAGTACTGGCTAATTGTTGTTCATGCCTGGATACTTCTGAAATTCTTCTGATTACTTATGTTAAGGTGCTTTGCTAACATATTAATGTTCTGGAATGAGAACAATGTTAATCAGTTACTGGAGTCTGCCCTAGGATTGTACATTTTACAATAATGAAACATTTATTTTTGTTTCATGAAAATGGTAGTACACTTAAACTCTTCGCTTGCATTTGATGTGATTTCAGTTTAATGGACATGCAAACCCGTGGATGATGTATTTTGTCTTTCTTCAACTCCAGTGTCAGGGAGGTCCAACAGGTCATGTGTTACAATCCTTGTAAAGTAGAAATGAAAGTGTGCCGATTCAGTATGCAGGGGACTAAAGTTGAAAATAAAAAATCCTAAATGTGAAATATATTTTCTCAATAATTCACAAATTTGTGTTATTTGTCTATTTACTCTTGTATTTCAGTTAATTTTGGGTGCATGTAGTCTGCATAATTATGTTACCCTGAATCCAGTGGTAGTTTTTAAATATTACAGAGATGAATACACATACATTATATGCCTCCTGGGAAGACACTGCTGACAGCTACTGTACATTGTACAATAATCTGCAATAATCCTAGGACTATTTAAGGACTGTATTGAAGCACTGCAGCTGTTTCTTCTCCTCTCCTGTTCCTCCTTAGGTTCAGTAGTTGGTATATATATGTGCTTTTTATGTTCAGTTAGGACATATTACTGTAGTGAATAGCGTATGAATATGAAAACTCATCATAGTGATTTTCACTCTGCTTTGAATATGAACGCATCATTAATTCAAAGGAAAAAAGGGGCGACAGAGTTCCACGTGGGTTTTTTTCCTCTTATTGCAAGGGAATAGTGAACAGGGTTGTACAGCACATTGAACAGCAATTCTTGCTTCCATTTTGTAAACCAGGTCTTTTTCTGTTTTACAAAATACCTAGCATTTTGTGGCATTTGTTTGGCAACTGTTGCATAATGCACAATGTCTATTAATAAAAATACCACCTAATAAAAATAATTTGGATACTATTTCCCTTGATTTTGTTTATGCCAAAAAATAATTGCCGTTCATTCATCCAACAGTGGAAATAAATGGTGATTTTTCTCTAGCTTGATACTGCTTTTGCTGTCTGCAGTATATTCAATGGTATTGTTCCTGTTTTTCTCACTAATCATCTGAAGCATATGTCCTGTAAGGAATATTTATTTAAATTAAATTTAAATATGTTTATGTACTTTTGCCTGATCCATTTTTAAAATTGAAAACCATATTCACAAAACCAAAATACTCTACATAAATTAAACAGTCTAACTAATATATTTTATGTTTGTGTGTTTGTTTGTTGGTTTGTTTGTTAAATTTGACAGATTGACCAGTTGCTCATTCATCAGAAATTGGAGGTTGTTGAAGGTACTGTATAAGGTGCTGGGTTCCCTTTATATTTCTTATCTCAACAGGATGAGGGGCAAAAGAAAGATTTGAAGTGCAATTTTTTAGCAGAAGTGAGAGCAAGTGTGCAGGAAAAAAGAAGGGGGCAGAGGTCTTGATAAGAAGCCAGTTCAGAACTTTTCACAATGCTCTCACTGTGAGTGGAGTAGGCAGAACAGAAAATAAGTGGACAAAATGAGCCAAATGAGAGAAAAAGGATCAGTACAATGTTTTTCATGTATTAGTATACTTTCATAGGTAATACTTTATAACAGTATCATAATAAACAATTCATAGGTGATACCTAAATTAAGGTATACTGTGTATATTTTATGTGCATCATTTCTTTGCTTCATCCATCATGACAGTTTGAATTTTGTTCTCTCTGATGCATAACTGAATGACTCTAATGGCACAGTTATGAGACAGGCAGAATCATAACTGACAATTCTGTCTGATAGTAACGCAGCCCAAGGAAACACTGTCACACAGGGAAGCACTGTTTTGTTGCGGGAGCCTCTCTCACTTCTGGGGCTACAGACATATAAAAGACAAATAAAAACTGGAGTTCTTTAATGAAATTCATTGTAGCTTTGTAACGTGTTTCAAAGAGACATACACTGTAGGTCTGCAATCAAGATAATGGAGTATTTTTTTGGAAAATTATCTTTAGTATTGTTATTACCATTACAAATGTAATGAATAACATTTCTTAAACCCATGATGAAAGTGATGATATTAGGGTGCTAAGTGTACTAAGCACACCTCCACAACGATCTGTAAAATACTAAGGATATAAACATTAATTTGCAGTGTTTAGAGTGAGTGAAAGATTCCAGGGTTTGGGCCTTGTTGGCTCAAGTTAAAAACTCATGCACTATTATTAAAATTAAAGAATTGAAAAATAAAGAAAGCTTGCAGAATCTGCAGGGTAGCACTCTATGATTCTTTTCAAGGAGCAATTAATTAAACATAAGCAATTTCAGTTCTGAAAACGTAATGAAATACCCACTTTTGCCTTTAGTTCTTCTAGGATGGGAGAGCAACAACAAATATGACATCAAAAACAGCCTTGGACAACAAGTGTTTTATGCAGCTGAGGAGAACGACTGCTGCAACCGGAATTTCTGTGGACCGCTGCGTTCCTTTACCATAAGGATTCTGGACAACTTTGGTCAAGAAATACTAACTATGACTCGGCCTCTAAAATGTGGTAACTGCTGCTGTCCGTGCTGTCTTCAGGAGGTACAGTAATAAACAAACCAAGATTTTTTCCTAAACCAGGTTTATTTTACATTATGGAAAGGGCAGTTAAAGCTTAAGTTGATATAAACGATCTGCTTTTCAGTATGCTAAAAACAAATATTGGGTCACATTTGTGTTTGTGTTTTTCTTTATTGGTTTTTGATCTGATTAGATTATTTTAAGTTGTCCTCAAAAATATTTTTCCTTTATTTTTTGTGTTTAACTAACCAAATCGGTGTCTGATACATTCATTTCTTGTTTTGCAGTTAGAAGTCCAAGCCCCACCAGGCACTCCAATTGGTTATGTTGTTCAAAACTGGCACCCATTCCTGCCTAAATTCACCATTCTAAATGAAAGAAAAGAGCCAGTGCTGAAAATTGTGGGCCCTTTCTGTGACTGCAAGTGCTGCTCAGATGTTAACTTTGAGGTATATCTATAATAGAGATACAGTATACTGAAAGCACAAATTGCTTATCTTCAGTTTTACTTCTTGTTATCACATTTTAAAAAGATTTACAAAGTGCAAACGTGCCTAAAAATGCATTTAACTAAGTACTGCATGTAACTGCTTCTTCTAGTCAAAGCCACTGGCAAGGACAACAACAAAAAAAATTCAGGTCAATCAGGAACAAGGGAATACACGTTAGGGGAGCTGAGAATCTACCACATCTATTTTAGATCCCATTCCCGCCACTTTATTCCAGTCCTGTTTCTCTTCTCTCTGTCCCATTGTCCTCAATATAATACATGAATCCTTGTACCAATGGTCCCAAAACTGCTGCTATTACCCCCATGCCAAAGAAGCCCAACATGGCTCTCGACAATCTTAACAACTTTCGCCCCATCTCCACTTACCCTTTCTCTCTAAAATTCTAGAACGTGCTGTCACACTTTCAGTTACATAACCACCTCATGACAAACAACCTTTTCGAACCCCTCCAATCTGGCTTCCGTCAACTTCACAGCACAGAAACCGCCCTAGTCAAAGTCACCAACAATCTCCTAATAGCTTCTGATTCTGGTTCTCTTTCCATACTCATCCTTCTTGATCTCTGCTGTCTTTGACACTGTTAACCATAACATCTTACTTTCTCGTCTTGAGACTGTGTTTGGAGTCTGTGACACTGCCCTCAAATGGTTTAAATCTTACCTCACTGAT